AGTTTGAAAATTAAAGAGACATAATCCCGTTGCTGTAGAAATCTTGGGATTTTTGATCAAAAACTACGATAATAACCCCTGGGAATGAGGTGATCGCTACTAAGCTATTTCTAATTTGTTTAGTGTTGTTAATTATGTAACATACATGATTGTAAGCTGTTATTGGTTTTTTCATAGTCCCGCTGAGTTTCTTGCTGGTTCTTCTCAAGACAGAGGTTTTTTTCGAACCAGTGGTAATTAAACAAAAGAGTAACTTTCAATAAGTATTATTTATAATCTATATTAAATAAAAAAGTTTCTGTTTCTGTATAATTATGAATTATACAAGAGTCACGAACTCATCCGAACGACGCACGATAATCCACGAAAACTTTCGGCGCCGCTAAGGCCACGGCCCGATAAAGGTGACAAACGAGCACACAGTCCACCTGATGGTAGGTGGTTGCTGTGGCCCATAGACATCTACATCTGTTTCTGATAAGTAGTTTTGGCAGTCCTCTCTTGATGTTAACCTAACACTACCCAAAGAATTCTGAAGAGACCGGTGAAAATCTAAGGGTGCAAGGTCAGGACTATATGGTGGATGCATTAACACTTCCCAACCAAGCTCTCTTAATTTTTGCTGAGTAGCCAAATATATGTGTGGTTTGGCGTTATGATGATGAAAGACTACTCCTTTTCTGTTGATCAGTTCCGGCCGTTTTTTCTCAATTTCTTGCTTTAGTCTCATTAGATTTTGGCGGTAGAGATCCGAATCGATAGTTTTGCTCAGCAGTAACAGCTCATAATAAACGATGCCCTTCCAATCCCCACCACACAGCATCACCCTCTTGCGTGTTAATCCGGGTTTCGATCCAGTCTATGGAGCTTGACTACCCTTTGACCATGATCTTTTTCCCATGTCTTGTCGTAGGTGATGTACTTTTCATCACCAGTTACAAAGAATATATATACTACGCGAACCAGTGATGAAAAGTAACCAGTGATCAATCTTTTCAAATATGGTTCGGTTTCATCGCGTTTCAATAGAGAATCGCAAATGAGTACACAATCCATCAGTTTTCTTTCAGTGAGCTCGTGTTGTACCCAAATATCGAGCTTTTTTGTATATCCAAGCTTTCTCACAACAACACACAAACACTCACGCCTGTCACCCAGAGGGGTAGGCAGAGACTACGGACTTCCATTTGGCGCTATCCTGACACACCTTTCTCGCCTACTTTACATCCATATATCTACGCATACACGCTCGTCGGTTAAGGGTACTCCTAATCTGGCCCATTCTTAATATATCGCCGATTTGGTCGATAAATCTTCATCTAGGGCGTCACTTCCCGACCCTGCCGTTCACTTCTGCAACATAAATTTGCTTTGTCACTCTTTCCTCATTCATTCTTTCTACATTGTCACAACGTCACCTTGCAAACCACACTTTTCTCTTATCACACTATTTCTCACCCTGTCATTCAGATTCAGTTCTAGCGTACTCCTTAAGGACCGCATTTCTACAGCATTTATTCTACTCTCATGCTTCTTCTGCCAGACCCAACTTTCACTACCATACATTAAAGTAGGGACTAACACAGCATTATGAATTGCCATACGTGCCTTATTTGACACATTCTGACTCCTCATAATATCGTGTAGAGCCCCATTCACTCTATTTCCTGCGTTCACTCGTCGTTCTATATCCTTATCATATCTACCAACCCTGCTAAATAAACATCCCAAATATACAAACTCATCCACTTGCTCAATCAACTCCCCTTCTATTCTTATTTCACAAAACGTTTTACTTTCTTCTCTTTTAAAAACCATCACTTTCGTCTTACTTACGTTCACTTTCATACCCCTTTCTTTCAAAGACCAGTTCATTAAAGTAACCGTCATTTCCACTCAGCCGCCGACGATGCAAATATGACTTGATCATCGGCGTACAAAAGGCATTTGACGGTTAACTCACCCATTCTCAACCCACATTCTTCAACTTTCAAAGTTTGCAAACAACTGACCATAAATAGGTTAAATAGCCACGGGGAAGCCACACATCCCTGTCTGACACCTTTATAAATGTCATACCAGTCCGAGTAGACCCTATTGATCCTGACACGAGCACTATAGTCCCTATAAAGAGACCTTAATGCCTGTATCAAGTCAGCGCTCAACCCAAATGAGCTCAGTGTTTGCCATAACACATTCCTGTCCACTCTGTCATAAGCCTTTTCCAAGTCCATGAACGCACAAAAAACTTTCTGGTTTTTGGCCAAAAAATTCTCCGCAATCATGCAAAAGACGCATGGAAAAGACTTGATCCGTACACCCCATCCCCTTTCTAAATCCAGGTTGCACATCCCAAATTTTTCCATCAGTTTCTTCCATAACTCTTTCAATTAACACCTTAGCATACAATTTACCCACAATGCTAAGCAAGCTGATACCACCGTAGTTTTTACAGTCCTGCTGCGAGCCCTTTCCCGTATATATTGGGACTATAACGACTTTGCACCAGTTTTCCGGTACCTGCTTCAGTTCCCAACATAAATTAAACAAGGTGCACAGCAGGCCTGCAACCACACCCTCTCCAGCCCTTAGTATTTCGAGTGATGTTCTATCATATCCGGCTGCCTTACTTACTTTCATGCTTTTCATTGCTTTCATTATTTCATCTACACTTATCTCCCTACCTCTCTCCACTTCTTCCGGAATTTCAATTTCACTTACTTCAGACGACTCTTCATTCTTAAACACGCATTCAAAGTCCTTCCATCTCTTTAAATTCGAAACTTCAACATTCAGCATGCAGCCATTCTCGTCTCGTATAGCATTCTCAAATGGAGCAAAACTGTTTTGTGGTCAATTCTCAATTCCTCGGCTATGTCGTAACTACTAATATGCCGATCTTGCTCCACTTGCACAAAAACTGCATCGTTTTTCAGGTTTTCACTCATTTTGGCGGACAGAATAACAATTTAAAAATGGCGGTAAATTGTTTTTTTTTTTTGCTTATATTTTTCTTTTTCTTAATGTCCTATATATGTATTGATATTAAAACCAGCCAGATACAAACAGTACAACCAAAGAGATTTTTCTTTGATTTTATACAAACAAAATACGAAGAAACTTTTTCTCCTCGACTCGACGATTATTATATCGAATAATAGTATCATATCCAGTAGACTACGTCTTTTTTCAAGTATTAAGTAACAGACCGTAATATCTGCAATCCTTTCGATATGAAGGGCCAGACCGTCGAAGTTTAAATATAACGATTTTTTTTTTCGATATTATGAACATGTTTAGCATACAATGGTGACCATATCAGAGAGGCATATTCTAATATAGATCGGACATATGCAAATATTAAGCTTTTAGGCTCTATAAATTAGAGAAAGGAAGACAAGTAAATAGTAATCATCAATAGGTATGCTTATTCATTGTCATATGGGAGTCAAGATATACGCTACCACCGAGGCCCTCTCGACAACACCATTGAAATTGTATTAGATTAGATTTCCATGTAATGACACTTATCAACATTTACTGTGATTTTATTAGGGGCATGGTGATAGTGCATCCACGACTTTTTCTGCCACCAGGGCGGCGCCACTTAAAAGTGAGGTATAATATTTGAAAGATATCATAGCGGGGAAGTTAATTTTTCATGTAAATGTTAATGTTTCTTTCTGTACTATTAGGCATATTTTGTATTAATAAGATTAAAAATAAATAAACCAAACCACAGATATTCATAAAAGTAGAAAAATTTACACGTGGTAGAGCCATGCTGCAGCTATATTAGTAGTATAGTTGTAGCACGAATGGGTCGGCTCGACGGGGGAAGGACCACGCTCTCACAGAAAACCAGCGTAAAATAGCAGCTTAAGACTGCTGTGTTTCGTATGGTGAGTGTAGAGAACCGGAGACCCTTTTTACTGGAAATTAGGCATTCCATCTTAGTCCTCACGGGTGACAACGCATTTTGAGTCGCAAACGAGGATAGATGTAGATGTCTATGGACCACAGCAACCACTTACCATCAGGTGGACTGTGTGCTCGTTTGTCACTCTTATCGGGCCGTAGCCTTAGCGGCGACGAAACTCAGTTTTCATGGATTATCGTGCGTCGTTCGGATGAGTTCGTGACTCACGTATTATTCATAATTATACAGAAACAGAAACTTTTTTATTCAATATAGATTATAAATAATGCTTATTAAAAGTCACTCTTTTGTTTAATTACCACTGGTTCGAAAAAAACCTCTGTCTTGAGAAGAACCAGCAAGAAACAGTGGAACTTTTTTTTTAAAATAACAGCTTACAATCAGAGGTGTAGCGTATATCACACACACACACACACAACTTAACAAAATCCCAAAAAATATACAAAATATGCTCAAAGTTCAAAAACTTTAATAAACTAAGTTTGTGTAAAAAGGGTTATATAATATTTTTTTATAGGATAAGGGGATATAGGATAATATTAAGGAATTTATGGATGATAATAACCTCTGGGAATGAGGTGATCACTACCAAGCTATTTCCAATTTGTTTTCTGTTGTTGTGTTACATACATGATTGTAAGCAGTGGCGTTGTTAGGCGTGGGCGAAGTGAGCCTCAGCCCACAGCCTCACACTTAAAGGGGCCTTGCAAGGCCCCTAAAATGTGATGCCCTCAGACTACCACAGATGACTAATTAATTTAATCACTTTTACGAAAAAGAAAATCACCAACTTAAATGTGTTCGTTTGGGGCCTCTCAAGAATTGCTTGTTTGATAGGATAGATCTACTGGGTAGATCCTTGAAATGAAAGAAAAGGGGCCTTGTTGTTGCGACTTCGTGCACATCTATATTTGTCCACACTATGCCTCTGCTAAAACGAAGGGCCATTTTCAGCAGTGGATTTTATTGATAACAATGAAGAATGTATTTTAATAAGAATATTATTAAAAGAAAACAAAGTAAGAAATTCATTTAAAACACAGATATATTACAAAAGAATTTATTTATCAATGAGAGTCCCTCTAGGTCTTTTATCAGTGCTGTTATTTGCCGGGGTCTCAGCTTGTCTCTTATTCATTCCTTTCCTTTCTAGCTGTTTTTCAATAATTCGAGCATTATTTGCATAGCTGTCCGCCACTTCTCTTGCTTCTATCTCATCCTCTTCTTCATCTATTGTAGAGACAGTAACAGAGCTGAATTTACCCATATTCTTTGTGTGCTTTGTTACCATAATCTTTTTAGGCTGTGCGAGTGCCACTTGTTTATAAATATCAGTCATAGTACCTTCACCAGCTGACTGTACAAGTGCTTCATTCATGATAAATACAATATTACTGTCTTGTTTATGTTTGTAATAAATTGGTATTGCACACTTTTTGCACTTTAATCTATATTGCCTCTCTATACCCTTTTCTCTCTTGAGGTAAATTGTTTCATCTGGATCTGCTGTTATTTTATGAGCGTGCTTCGATCCGTCTATAACTCTGGCTTCGTCTGTTGGTCGCAAAGGTAATCGATCTATTGTACAGTCCAAAATAAGAGACATTTGACCACAAAGACAGTAATAAATGTGTAATGGTTTTGTTTCGTTATATTCTTCTTGATCTTTTGTGTCTGAGCAAACAATACTTCGTGATACAACTTTTGGCATTTTGTGGCCTTTTAAAATTAATTAGGCTACTAACAACACTATTACAACCTTCTTGAGTTTTACTCAAATCAACATAATATGACAATATTACAAAATAAATTCTGCATATTATTTATATAAGCTGTCAAGTGTCAACTGTCATCAAACATTAACCATAGGCAAAGAGTATAGTAACTGTCCTTCTAAGTGGCATATACTAGACCATAGAGATATATACCTATGGAGAGGGCATATTCCACTATAGAAATAATAGTTATACAAATATCTATAATATCGACACACACTTGTCAAAAACAGTTTTGTTTCTTTTTAACAAAGCAGTAGCTGCAATATGAAAGAGATACAACTACAATTTCTAAAGTGCTTATTTTGTTAGATCTCGTCTAAGCTGAAATGACGCGCCCCACTATCGCATTAACGCACACAAGCAAATCTAAAATATGGACGCAATAAATATACAAATACCGTTGTAATTGGTCATTCAGTTGCCGGTGAGACTACTACCTACGCTTGGTAGGAGCACGAGTCGTTCGATTGTAATAGTACCGTCAGCATGTCGACCAAAAAACATCAAGTCAAGTAAGTAAAATAATACGTTATTGCTTAAAATCTTATTAAATCATACATTGTTTTTATGGTGGTTTACATGCATACATTTTACAGGCAAAAAAAATTACTGCGAAAGTGTACCGCAGAATGAAACATGAAGCGGAAAATGGAGTGGAAAAACTGTCTGACGCTAGATGGCGACCTGCCCAAGCCGTTGGTGTTAGTGAATTTTGAAAGAAGAGAAACAAGCTAGTACATAAAATGATACGTCACAAAAAATTTTAGATCGCCCTCAAAACCAAAAAGGAAGCGCACCAAGTCTAACCTAGATGATTTTGATATGGGTATACTTCGCAGAACGATAGCGACATTTCATACAGAATTTAATGAATTACCAACGTTAAGAAAGCTGAAACAAGTATTAACAGAAAGAATTGGTTTTAACGGTTGTATAGAAACTCTGCTTATCATTTTGAAGGAATCTTTAGTAGAAAAGCATGATATCCAAATGTTACGCTTTCAATATTTGAGGCAATTAAAAAAATATCGTGGCGAGGGCCGCTATATCGTATACACAGATGAAAGTCATGTTCATACAACACATCTGCAAAACATGTGCTGGAAACTAGTCAAAGGAGTATCAGCAGTGCAAAAAAAGTTGTCTAAAGTTGTTTGACAACGGATTTTAACTTTCTAAGGAGGAGTCGTGTCGCTAGTGTGCCACAGTAAACATAGGCTTCGTGTATTTTTGTCAATTTAAAATATAAAAAGTTCAATTTCCCACCCAAACTTGATATTATAGTTATAGTAGGAATAAACCAATAAGCACAAGCATTATCTATCAAGAGTATACATAAATAACAAAGAAAACGACGAAATATTAAGTGCAGTGATATTTTCAATTTTAACACCAGGACGAAGATATAACTGTATTTTGATGGGCTGTAGTGCCAAAGGGCCTACCCTTTTCTATTACGAAGGTTAGTGGAATAAATAAATACTAAAATTTGTCTGGAAATCCATTAATACTATTATGTAAACAAAAATCAGCTGTTATTTGATTAGAAATGTACAATGTTTTTATCGACACTGACCCATACTATATAAAAGAGACAGTACAGTGACATCTGTTGTGGAATAATTAAACAAATCTGATGAATGGTTTTACTGACATAGAGACAGTACAGTGACATCTGTTTGTGGAGTAGCTAAACTAATCTATTATATAGATATATTGTATAAACAAAATTATTGTTAAGTGAAATTATGTTTAAAAAGAAAGTCCCGCTGGGTTTCTTGCTGGTTCTTCCCAGGACAGAGGTATTTTCCGAACCAGTGGTAAATAAAATAATGACTTTCAATAAGTATTATGTAATAATCCATATTGAATAAAAATCATTCTATTCTATTCTATTCTAAGATATTAATCCACAAAAAAAATTGACTCACATAATCCAGTGGGTAGTAATAACAGTATTATTCAAATCAAAATAAATACTTCAAGAGCGAGGCACTAAAAGGTTTTGTATTAGATTTTATTTTCCTTATTTAATATAACGGTGACATCTATCAACAACGCACATAAGTCAATAAAAATATAATAATTATCACAATTTCACAATGCTGAGTAACAAAACAACGAAAGTGCAGCAAATCAATTCAAAAGCCGTTCACGAGATGTCGCCAATGGTAACATGTGAAATATGTAAACAGAAAATTGAATCGAAAAAAGTATTACTTTGTTCACGATGCAAAAAATATTTTGAATTTGACTGCACTGGTTACTCTGAAAACTATACTTGTTAAAAGACGTAGACTCGAGAAAAAAATGGATGTGCAAAATATGCAAAGAAAACTCAAACCCAAGTCACACAGAGCCTTCTTTCGTTACAACGAGGGAAAAACCATTCACGCCAGAAATTGTCAAGAAAAACTCACCCGTCGTTACGCAAACGCCAATACAGTCGACACCAAAAAACACATCATGCCATTCTGAAGACTCACATGTACTTACCCTACATAATATATCCTTGGATAACTCACCTTCAATGTCAGACCAACTACTCTCAAGAAGTATGTATTGCACAGTTACAGACGCAATCGATGTTTAAGAATTAAAAGAAACTATTAACGGATTACAATTAGAATTAGCTAGTACACAGAAGGAATTGGAAAACTATATATTAGAAAATAACGCCCTTCGAGATCAAAACTCTAAACTTCTAAAAGAAAATAACGTCTTAAAACGCTGTGCCAATCTCCAATACAAAATAATAGTATAATAAAAAGCACCAAGAAAAAAATCTAAGCCGTCTACGCAATTAACTAAAGTCAGTTTACTCTCACCACCCAGTTCACCTACACAGAGACAGTCTCTTATAACCGATGATCAGTTGAACCTGCAACGGCAAATCACAAAGTTTCAACAAAAATTGAACGATGTGCAAATAGAAATTGAAACTCTCAATAAACATATTCCCAAGTTAAAACTGAAATTGCATGACACGAATTCATCGCGTTCACCACCCTGTAATAAATTGACCCCTACACCTGCTATGAAAACGATAACGGGAAAAGAATATTTATCTACGGATCACAACAGTGTGTCGGCCTATCCTCAGCTCTAATCTGATCAAGAAAAAATACTACGTATGAAAAGTATACAATTACATCTCAAACGAAGCCTGATGCCTTGACTACAGATATTTTAAAAGACTGTCATAACGTTGATTTAACGCCCAATGACAAACTATATGTATTGGTGAAAATGACTACGATATAAAAATTTTGACATCCCAACTTTGGAAATTATTAACTACTTTTAAAAATAATGACATACTCTTGTTAAATGTATTAAAAAATAAGTATATTAATATATATGCCTTAAATAATAGTATACTAAAAATATGTAATGAATTTAAAATATGCCGTTTTGTGACATGTACAAATGAAACTATTTTTGACATGTGTAATTCAATTAATTTTCCTATTGACTATATTGACTACGAAAAAAAGTATCTGGATGTACGTGAAATAAAAAAGTTGAAAGGACGTGACAATAATCCAATGAAACAAAAATCCGGCGTAAACATATATCCTAAAAGAACAATTCCTTATTATTTTAAACGTCAATCCACATTTACTACTACTACCATAGAATTATTACGCATAGAAACGCAGTCCAGTACAAAACACGAGCGTTAAAATGATGCAAAGTCATAATGTTAGTGGGCGCGAGTCGAATGTGCCTACGCTCGTCACACGCACACATACATGGCATTCAGTGATACCAGTGTCTGGCGTTTGCAATCAAATTGTGCAAATCACTATTTTTTGATTAATTTTAAAAAATCGATATATTAAAGATTACGTATTACGTACGAAGATATATTTTATGAGAATATAAAATGGAATAAAATAAACACGATAATGATGGTACTAATATAACTTAATTATACATATTTTAATGGTACAAAAATACAGACGTAATAAAATTTGTGCGGGACAAGAGAAAAACAAATAGTGATACATAAATAAGACAAAAACATTTATATTAATGGAATAAATATTATAGTTAGTTTGTACTTAGATAGGATAAACATTTATATTAATAGAGATTATAGTTTAGATAGGATATAAGCATTTTATGTTAAGAAAATAATAGTGTAGAGCTTATATTTGTGTAATAAAATTAGTTGGTCACTTTGTATAATAGAACTAGCTTAAGGTAAACAATGTAAACAATGACTCAGTAAGATATAGAACTAGCTTAAGACAAACAATGTAACGGGACTCAGCATCGTCACTTGCTCTGTCACGCCTCGCGCTGATTGGTCGACGCCATTTGTACGATGCGTCGGCCGTATCCATTGACCCAGCCCGAGGCGGTATAAAAGAGGGGCGATTTTCGTCGTTCGACACAGTCGGCGGCCAGCTACCTCAAGGAAAACACCAAATATAGAAGAAAGAAAAATATCGCAGCGGTTTTATTCTCCACCAATCCAGCACACAAATGTGCCTGTAGGGCACAAAATTTAAGAATATTATTAAACACAATTAATTTGCTCGAATACAATAAGCACATTGTGTAATATTTATTTTTAACCGACTTCAAAAAGGTTTTCAATTCGGTGTATTTTTTTAAAATGTTTTTTACCTCAGCATTCTACAATTTCTAAACCGATTTAGATTTTAAATGTTCAGAATAAATGCCACTAATAAATGTTCAGAACATGAACTCTCAAGCGTAGTGATACGACATAAACTAGTAAATATAGAATTGTCTTAGAAATCAGTGTACATACATGTTGATAACCTCTCCTTTTTGTGAGTCGGTTAAAATAGACTATGTTTGGGTCTAAAATAACATCTGGTTAATGTTTGGGTGTAAAGTGACATCTGGTTAGTTAAGGCGTTCTTATTAATAATATCTTGATGTTGTAAATAGAAAA